GGAGATGGCGGAGAGAACGCGCTCCGAGGTGTGGTTAAACTTTACCCGTCTTGAGGTGGACAATGCTCGTTACCAAGAGAGTTTCGCATGTAAGGGCGGTAACACGAGCAATTTGTCTAAACATTTATCAAAGTGCTCCACATCCAGACGGAGGAATGCACCGGGTTCCACTGTCTTTCTAGAAGCTCTGTAGCCCCATCCACGAGTAACGTTTCCACGTCAGGTGTTATGTATGCTAGCAGCAACACACAGAGTTAACTACATTATACAAACATGGGTTAATGATTAGAGGTAACTGAGTTATTTAGTTTGTTAAAGTTTCAGCTGTTCTGTTTACAGTTCTGTCATCAGATTATTTAATACGATTTGTTAAAACATTGTTGTTTCTTTTGATGTGAAATATTATGTATTTAATTTAAATTAAAAGCAATGTTAGTTTTGTTCACAATTTGTTTAGTTAGTTTACCTTATTTTTCTCTCCAAAAGAACCGATAAGAGTACCGTTAAAAGACGGGACCGATAAGCGGTATCGATAAAAGTAGTAGAACCGTTAAAACCTTAACGATACCCATCCCTAGGTTTACTCATGTGTGAAAATGTCCAACCGGATATTTTTACAACCAAATGGACCAGCTAAAACCCAGCATAGAAATGGAAAGCAGCCTATTGGGCTCACCTCTGTCTGAATGATACGGACGAGGCAAAGCAAATGCAGGACCGTTTTGGCAATGGCACCTAGCTGAAGGCATCGTTCCACAAGGGACATCAACGAGGGGTCGATCCTCCTCTGAAGCTTACTCCACAACAGAGTCAACTCCCTTTGGATAAAAAAAACACACAAGAAATCTAAGTTATATTTATTTTTCTTCAAAGATATTCAAATTTGACAAACTGTGATGTCCACAACAATAAAGAGAAACAACTCATCTTATCAGGGAGTCAAAATGTACATTACATGCAGTCAAGCCAACATCTTGGCTCCAGACAGGAAGCACTCACCAGGAACAGTACAGGTTCTGCTGCTGAAGCTGCTGTGTCAGGAAAGTTGTGCACAAGATGAAGGCGTGGTTCTCCTCCCCCTCAGACTCCAAAGTACACGTGATCTCCAATACGTCCTTACAGTCAAGTCTTGATATCTGTTCAGGGAGTAAATACAATGCTGACTGCTTAGAAAACAACATGATACACAAATCATCCTCCAGGCACTGTTTCAAATCTGTTAAATCCAGTGTAATGCCGGTAATATCTTATTCCTCCATACTCAGTAAGAAATTATTCAGAAGTTTCCGTGTAAAGATTGTGTCGTAATGATTTGTTTGCATTCCAAGTAAGGAAATGTTAGAATATTGTGCTGACCTACATTCCAATGTGTCATCCTTCAACAGCATGACAAGTTAAATAGTTGGATTTACAAGGTTTCAACTGACTGCATACCAGTACAAGGTGGGGGAGTTGATAGCACAACAGATGTAGGACAAAGGGTTAAAGAAACTGGTCTGTGAGTAAGAAGACAAGAAGATGCCACAGCTATTATGTGCCTAAAGCTAAAAAGGCCCTCTAAAGCCTTTTTAACAGGTTTTCTGAGTCTTCCAACTGACTAGCAGAGACTCAATTTGCATGTGAATTTAGGTCTCTATTTTTGGAGCTGGTACCCGCTATAAATAGACATTTTTTAATATTTATAACTATACAAATGTTTGAATATGTCCACATTTTTATTCATCGTTGAATAAATAAAAAATGTATAATACCAGGAGGGAGAAATGTTTTATTCCTGTGTGTGACTGACTGCTCAGCATAGGTGACGCTTCATCTGGAGTCAAACTGAGATGTCAGACCACCTGCTGTGAGCCCTGAACACATCCTGCCAAAACCAGATGTCTCCTCTTACAGCAACAGCAAGTTGAGCACAGGCTGAGCATTTCAACCATTTAGTTAGTGCTTTTATTTAGACCTCTGCTCGCAAGCTAACTAGTTTCCTGCATTCTTCTTCCCATCGCAACTCACCTATCAATGACTGTGTTAAATTAGGGTCATAGCGCTGTAATACCTCCATGATGGCCTCTTCATTGGGCAGCAGGTGACAGAGCAAGAAGACAAAGGTTTGACGGAAGGTAGCTTGGTTGGAGATGAATCTGCATTCAGTGCACGCTTTGGCCAGCACCACGGCTTTAGCCACTTCGCCCATCTTCTCCAGGTGCTTCACCCGCATTTCCATGAAGCCCTCGCCCTCCAAGCTGATGTACGCATTAACTAATGACAGGATGCAAAGAAGATCTGATTAGAAAACTGCCTCGACAGGGTCAACCTGACGATGAGAACTTTCATGTCTAAAAGCAATAGCATAGTTGAGTTAACTAGATCCGTACCTTCTTCTGGGTTTGTGGGCTGGCCGGTGAGGAGAGAGGTGAGGACAGAGTTGCTCCACGCGCCTCCCTCTCCTGTGATCTGGAGTAAAGCTTGGAGGTCTGTGCTTCCATACTGTAGCAAGGTATCATGGGCAATCTGCAATAAAGATGCAAAAACATTAAATCTTAAACATATATATATTTTTTAAACCACCATTTGTTCCGTTTGTTCTTGAAAACACCTACACAGAAGGTTATTGTAATTTATAAAACGGACAGGTCAAATCAAGCAATCTGATTGGTTCTTAGCCGTGATATACTGAGCGTATACCACGGGTAGAATTGTAAGTTACTTTTCACAACAAGTCAGTATCCCTCCGCGCCTGAGACAAACAGTATACAGTTGGGCTTAAAAGCAAACTCCCTGCAGTTCAAGCTGGAACAAGAAAGCAGCGGAGAAGTAACGGGGCAGAAACTCTCCTTTTTGACGCAGCGGTCCAGACATAGACATCAAACGGCAAAACATATTCAGTGTGCAGTTCCTTTGGCATTAGGGCAGGGATATCTAGATACTTTCCAAGGTTTAACATAATGAATTGTGCTACTTTTAAAGCAAGCAACGATGTTTTCAAATCTGTAATCAAAGAGGTCCGCAAATACGCTATCGACCAATCAGATTGCTTGATTTGACTTGTCAGTTTTATAAATATATTCAAATTTCTTCCGTTACGAAACAAACTTACAAAGCATAAGATGGAAACATTTAAGATTAACTTCGACCTCCGGGGGGGTCTTACTATAGAGGAGTGGATTGAGCAGTGCCTATCTCCAGAAAAAAAAGCACCTAAACTACGACATGCAGAGCTACGTGAAGAGCAGGTAGACCAACTGGAAAAGTACCACCATTCAAAAGCTTTCTGATGCGGGTCTTGAAACAAAGCAGAGAAATTATGACCGTTAGTGGCCACAGGTGCGAAAGCTCTCTCCAGAGCTACTGGAAGCCCAATCTCGGGAACTGGAGAAAGTGGAGCAATATTCTCGCCACGCCAAGCAACAGCCTAGAACAACCTCAACCTCTACAAGTAACCACGTAAGCCATGCTACTGATGCTGGACAGTTTTTCAGTGGGTGCAACATACAAATAAATGTAAATAAATAGCCAAATAATGGATCAACGCTCTCTGTCTAATATGTTCGCTAGCTGTTAGTGTTGTTGCATAGCAACCACTTCGTGCAGAAGGCAACGGAGGGACTATTTTATTTTGAACATCATTATTTACTAATAAAAACTATTTAAATTAGAGTGTGTATTTTTCTTTCATATTGCCACACTTGGTAACCGTTTTATAAAAGCAATAGCTCACTTCAGGCCGTGATATATGCTCATTATATCACAGCTAAGGGGGTACCACGGCCTGTCGTGAGCTATTGCTTAAATAAATGATGTGACATATGGACTTTTGCTAAGGAAAGGCCACTCATTCACTTTTACTACATAACTTAATTTTTAGCCCAAATATATTTATTCTAAAATACAGCCACTTAGCTGGGAACGATCCAACAGCAACTTAATGAACATACATTTATTAGTTTTACAGTACGTTTGTGTGGTAATGACCATTACTCATTGTTGTATATCAGTATAGTTTTTCCTTCAGCAAGCATTTATCACAAATGACTGTCTACCAATATATGAGTTATGGGTTATAAAACACTGTGGGTTTAGTCTCAACAAGGTCAATCAGAAATAAAACACTCCTATCTACAACAGCTGGGGACATCAGGCTTCACTAGCCTATCTATCAGAAGGCTTCTGATAACGCCTGCTAAGGCATGAGCAAACAGAACGGCATTTTTCTTTAGACCATTTTATTTTATCACGGATTTAAGTCTGCAGCACATCAGCAAACAATGTTTCGAAACAACTTTCTCTACCTGAACAGAGTGGTGGAATTGAACCCAGGCTTCATACGGGATTTCATTCTCAGGCACTGACAGCAATAGTTCAAAACAGCTCCTGCAAGAAATAATAACAATTTGAGAATGATTTCGCAGGAAAGAAGTCTGTCATAATACAAACATCAAGAAAAAGCTTTATTCATATCCATACATTAAACATGTCAAAAAGGATCATTTGAAAAATGGAATGAACAGTGCTGACATGTTTTGAGGTGGCTGGTATAAGATCCTTCATGCAAGACTTTGAATTGAGCTCAAAGCAATGAAACAAGCTCTATCCCTAATGCAAGAAATGTTGCCAATCAAAGTTGCCTCTTAGTAGCAAAATAGGCGTGAAAAGGCACATCCTCTTTAAAAGATTGCAAAATTACAATATTTGTCATCATCAGAAACTGTAAAAACAGAAATGTGTGCCAGATTCTCAAATTGTATGAGATTTATTCTTCAGTCTGGAAAGATTACCAAAACCTCTAAAATAGTGACATTTAATCTAAATCTGTTTATTCTAGCAGTTTCATTTAGGTTTAAATTCTGTAAAATGCAGGCAGAGTAGAGGAAAATATATTAGTTGAAGCCACCATTTTTGAAAAATCACTTCTTTGTGATTGTACTGTAACGGTGCAATATTTATTTACTATGAAAAATGATGCCACAGTGGGTAAAATGTGACAGGAGCAAAATACGCCTTGGACCTTTTTCAATACTCACAAAGCAAGTCTCTTCAAAACAAGGGCCACTCTGTCGGAGTCTGGAGTGAGGTGGGATCGGGCTGCAGCGAAACAGCTAATGGACAGACAGTAGACCTCCAGAAGAGGCAGACCATGCTCCATAGAGTTCCTGCTCCCAGCATAGTGCATGAGTGCCTTTAAACAAACACAAAAACATCATAAAGTGGCAAATATGGAGATAAACAGAGAACTAAAATACTTTCAAAAACAGTGATAAAAAGACATCATAGAGGAGACATTTGTCTGATAAACAGTGAGTTTCCACCGTGGGGGGATACCAGTTGATCCCAGCTGACACTCTCTGATGTGTGAGACACTTCTGATTAGGCCTGATGGGATTTCACTGTACAGAATATGACAAAACCTGAACCCCTAGTGAGCAGACATGCTAAAAAACAACAACTTACATATGGAGGGGGACATGTTAATTACCATCTTTTACTTATAACATTTTGCAGCTACCTGGATGTGTTTTGTAATGAATGCAATAGTTATTTCCTTCCTTCGGTCAACACAACAGTATTATATGGATATGAAAACTATTCAAATTCAGTTAACAAGAAGCGATATCGTAAAAAAAAAATAGTTATGTTCTCTTATTGACTCTTTACCTTTACCAGAGGGCACATTATTGTTTGTAGTGAATATTGTCTTAACTGTCAACTGTCCTCAGGCACAAAGGAGTCAACATCTGTGTGTGTAAATCAGTGTCACCTACTGTATATGTTCACACATTAAATCATCATCACTATCAAGATCCCAGGAGTCCCATTTGCCAGACAGTAGGACCCTAGCTGGTTGCTGCTTGTGTCCACAGAGAGGCACTAAATTAATTCCCATCAGTCTAAATATATAGTGCCATCTCAAAGGAAGCCACACATAAGGGCTCAACCCTGGAGACCCTTAGCAGTGTACTAATTACACCCAGACTACTTCCGACTTTAACAGAAAATAAATACACAATAAACACAAACTTTTTGTTTGAAATCAACCCAAAAACATTGCATTTACATAGTGTGAAAACTTAAAGGCTCAGGGAATTACCAAAGAGTTATTCAACATGAGAACATATGCCATCTTTTGATATAAGGAAATATTATCAGACCAAAAGAGACTTGACACAAATCCTTTTGCTATCTTCAAATGTTGTCAACTTTTCTGTTTAATTTTCCTAATTTGTGTTAGTATCTTTCCAATGCAGTTCAGCAAAAACACACTTCAAAGAGACTTGAACTGTTTAATGTGATACATCACTGTGTTATTGTGGTTGTTTACCTAAAGGCTGTCTGTGTTTTATGTTGTTGTTTTTCTGGTGGACAGTAATGATAATTATTGTATATGCTACTGTATATGATATTATATTCTAACCATTTTCACCAAGCAGTGAAAATAAAATACATTTTTCCTTTATCAGGTTCCCTTACTGGCAAAGTTGAAACATTTTTGCCAAATACAATTAATAAAATGTGTTTTTGCAATTGTACTTACAAGTCTATGAGTTTGGGAATAAGGGTCATTTAAATAAGAGTGTATAATCATTGTAAATAAAATAAAAAATATAACACGGTAGTGGCAAATCCTCAACCTTGCCAGCCCATTATCAATCTTTACAAACACTAACGTTATGTAAATGCAGTTTTGGATTCTTACAACTTCTCGGAATGATCAAAATACAATTTCCCAGTGGCCTAACGTTGCAACTAGCGAGAAAATGTGGATAAACATAACGCGATGCCGCCCCGCCCCAAACAATAAATGTTGTGCAAATGACCAGTGCATTATGTTAGATCCTTGCCAGTATGTTTTGACTGAGACGAGAACATAAATCAGCTTACTGTACGACTTGAGCCAACACACAGTAAATCTCTCATCTGCCAACAGCCTACATCCCAAGGCCGATACTAGTAGCTAAAATGTTTAAGCGTGCATGATATGCATGTGTTAATATAAATACAAATACAGAGTGTGCAATAGCTCCCTTGTTATGGACCAGCCCTAAACTTGAGCAGGTAGCTAGCGGGCCAGCATCTGGGGTACATTAGCTGTAGCCTGCAGGAAACGAGAAAAACAACCCAGGGCGAGCTAACGTGAAGCTAACGCTGGCATCAATGTTTGCATGTACACATTACCTGACAGAAGTTGTCGCAGTACTCCGTGGAAGATGCTATGGATAGTTCTTGTTGCCTGAGCACGTCTTCAAAGGCTCTAAGTGTAGCCAGCAGGGTTTCCATTGCAACCAGGGTGTCGTCGGCCGTGTCCAGGGCCCGGTCCATCCAGTCCTGCTCCGGCTCCACACTCTCCGCCATCTTCGCTCCTCGACACGGCGCGTATGCAGTGCAGTCTGACGCCGCCTTCACGGGCTGTCGGAATATTTATGTGTGGTGAACTTCACCTGCAGGACCCGAAGACATCATGGGAGAGGGGGGCGACGGGGGCGACTGGTAGAAATGTGACATCAGGTTTATTGGTATGATTATTTGTTGGTTGTTGTTATTTCCTGGAATGTTAAAGAACCTTTTTATTTTATTTTCAGCAACCCATCAATGTGAACACAAAGCAAACTAACCATTAATGTTAACATAATTACAGGCTTTGTATTTTTCCTATCAGGATGTTTTATTTTGATGTGCATAACAACTCTATAAGTGTATGGTGTTTTATTTTAATGTCAGATAAGTGATAATAAATAAATGTTTTTTTCTTGATTATCTTTTGCTTTATAAAATCTCTGAAATGTCCATCCCAGTTTTCTAAGAATACAATGACATGATTTTAAATCAATTGTTTTGTCAGTCACAAACCAAAAGATATCGACTTAAATATTATATAAAACAGAGGAAAGCACAATCTATCAGCATAAATACGTGTTTAATCAACAAGAAGACATAATGTTCATATCAAATTCCAAAAGATCATCACATGTGTAGCCTTCTGAATACCCTGTGGCAGTGGGAACCATGTATCTTTAAAAAGTCAACTTCTAGTGAGATTCTGAGCAAACAGCATTTTTTCAGATTCGGGAAGAACACTTCATGCTTCAGTTTATCACAAACATTGAAAATCATGGACAGGAAGTGGATGAAAAACTGCTGCTGTTGCTCTGGCAGTAATAACAGTTGCATGTATTATTTTTAGAAAAATGCACATGTGAACTGACAAAAACTCCATCCAAAGTCTCTACAACTTTCAAAGCTTAGTGACAGCAATTCAGTATTTTTTCTGTTTATTAGCATAAGTAAAAAAAACAATTGATCCAAATGTGAACAGTTTTTATGAATGTACATTTTACTTTTATTAGTATGACCCAGAGCCATAATAGAATAATAATAATTCGATCTATATGGCGCTGGTATGAGGTATGACCTAGCGTTATATAGTATTAAAAACTGGTGTTTGGCGCCCTCTACAGGTTAGTAGGAGTTTCTTTTGTGGCTTTTCTTGACCCGGAAGTAAATACATTCCTTTCGGTCACACGTGTAAACGGTAAGCACAGCTAAGATACATATGTGAAGATTTGTTGATCTAATACCTTGCATTGCTGTTCGTTGAGATGAATGTTTCTAATTGACATACATACTTACTCCACAGGATCTGATTTGGTCTAGTGAAATAGCTAGTTTGTGAACTACGATGGCTGATAACTGTATATTCTGTTTTTTTCTCAACAGGATCAACCATGGGAAAGTCCAAACAAACGGGAAATCACAAAGGTGACTCGAAGAAGCACATTGCAAAGACATGGAAGACAAAGCGCAGGACCAAAGACATGGACGAGATCCACTCGGACATGAAGACTGAGGCAGCGGCCAAGCTGCTGAACCAGGAGGTGGACGTCGACGTGACGGGGTGTGCACAACACTACTGTTTACACTGCGCGTAAGTTCCCCCCTGTTGATTTCCAATGTTCATAAGGCAGTTACCATTTGTTATTTGCTATTCAAACAATTGCACTCATTCTTATCTATGACGGATATGTCCTTTTTGTGACAATTTTAAACGTTTGTTTACCAATTGAAGATGAGCTGAATTGGCTAATGATGGAATTATATATGGTATATCAGTGCAAAGGTTCTCTTAAAAGTAAATTAACATATCAAAATAGAAATATACTTAAGTTACCATGAGTAATAGTACTCATTATGCAGATTGACAAATTCAGAATAAAATGGGATTGTTGTGCAATAATATGTAAGCCACTCTAATGTTAATGTTTAAATAGGTAGATTAATGTGTAATAATACATCATGATTTATTCTACATTGTTCATTAATGACTGGAACATTTCAAAAATATTAAGTATCTAAAGCTGTCAAATGTATTGCAGTGAAGCGTACAATATTTCTCACAGAAATATACTGCTGTAAAAATACAAAAGTAGCATTTATATGTGAATACTCAAGTGAATCGCAAGCAACCCAAAATGTTGACTAAGTACAGTAAATGTACTATGTTAAATTCCACATCCTGTGTTATAACAAGCAGCAAAGATATCTAACGTACGCTGATACTGACAGAATGTTAAGCTGGTCCTAAGAGTCTCAGCTTACTGGATGACCATAAACCTTTAACTCTGGACCTTCTTCTTCTTTTCTTAAATATATGTGATAGTTTCTATTGTGACTGGTTATAATGTTTTGTATTGGTTTTATATTGATTTGATTTGTTTAGCTATGAAAGTCTCTCTTACAAAAGAGATCTTAGACAAGGTAATAATAACATGGTATTATGCAGTTAGCCTTTAACACTGTGTTCCTTTATGTCTTCCAGGAGATATTTTGTGGACATGAGATCAATGAAAGAGCACTTCAAAACCAAAGTGCACAAAAGACGGTAAGGCACCATATCTCAACAGCATATTTTCACATTGACCTACTTTATTTCCCCTGTAACTGAAGCGGCCAAGTATCTCTGTGATTTTCAGAACTTACCTCTTCTTCTTTTTCCTTCCAGGTTGAAAAAGCTCAGAGAGGAGCCCTACACCCAGGCAGAGGCAGAGAGAGCGGCAGGTATGGGCTCATACATCCCGGCAAAAACAGTTGAAGTGAAGACACAGGCTGTGGAAGAGGACATGGACTAAGCCACCCACTTTAAGCCATGGACTGATCACCCCAATAACCGAAGCATTTACAAACGGGATAATGCTTCGGTTATTCCTTGTTGACCCACACATTTTGAGTGCAATGTTAAATGCTTTTTTTGTGACACTTCAACAGAATCAGAAAAGCCTTTACCTTTAATACTAGGTAATGTAATACAACATGTACCTCTGCAAATATTGAGTATGTTTAGCACTGTGTGGAATGCTAATAAACATGATGGAGATTGCAGAATGCTTTCATATGAGACCATGCACTGTGGTTATTGCAGTATTTCTTAAATCCTGAGGATTACCAACCCACACAAATTCCAAGGACAAGATGTTTAAAATAATTTTGGTTGAGGGATTTTCATTTCCTTTCTACATCAGTATTTATTTGGAGGAAACTACATGTTGACAAGGAATGAGAGGTTTTGAACTAGCCTATTTTAAATTAAATAATCTAGGAAGGATTTCACACTCTTTGGTTGAACGCACACAACTCCTATACACGATGATCATATGTTCAAAGAGAGATCACACTTGAGTTCTAGAAGTAAGGCTTGTGTACATGTCTTGGTATGTGCAACATCAAATTAATGGAAATCTTGCTTTAGTTATTACTCTTGTAATGGTATGACACATAGCAGATAATGCCAGCAATCTCTCTCAAGCTGGGTATCTTTACTGTATAGCAACCCCTTTTATTTCTGCCAACATTTCCTCTATGCAGAATGAAAACCACTGGCCCCATTGTTGACATCTTGGTATTCCAAAGGTTAGTCCGGCAAAAACAAAGCCTTCCACAGGTATATACAAAGCTTCAAAACATACTAATAACAGTGTGCTTTGGCAAAGAAGTGTATAATTGAAGCGTTTCAGCAGACATTCCTGGGATGAGCAAGGCAACACTGCCACTTTAAATGTTGCTACTGTGCCAACACCCACACCTAACTTTAGTAAAGTGAGAGAAAACGTAAACTTCCGGTCGTTTGAAGCGTTTCAGCAGACATTCCTGGGATGAGCAAGGCAACACTGCCACTTTAAATGTTGCTACTGTGCCAACACCGACACCTAACTTTAGTAAAGTGAGAGAACGTAAACTTCCGGTCGTCAGTTTCAAAATAAAGCACTAAATGGTCAAATTGAGAATTTTTAAATGTGTTTACACATACTGAAGCAGATTGTATCTATCCGTTGTCTGTGTAACGTTTAGGATCATGCCCAGGCTGAAACCAACTCAATCAGTTGTAATATTTATTTCCGATGTCACGACAAAGAAGATTACGGCAATAATAAAAGCAGGAAGAAAACGATGTATTAATCTTCAAAGACAAAAAAAACACAAGATATATCACAATATACATTTCAATTAACAAGCAACTACTGGTTGATATTGATAACGGGTAAGATAACTGCCGAGTACACACGACTAGCTAGCTACGAATGCTTTTATTTTGAACCCAGACAGGCCAAACATCCGGTTTCTTCTTGGCTGTCATTTGTTCCCTTGACGCATTTCAAACCACATCCATATGGCTGTGGTTCAGATGTGGGAAATAAGAAATATGTGCTGCTAGCTAACGCTCCATCCACAGCTGTTGTGGGATTGTAACGGCCGGAAAAGACGAGTGGTCCCCGGCTACAGGATAACAGAACCGTCGCTAGGCTCAAAATACTTTAAGAAAGATAAGTTTATGCTACTGGATACTTTTTTTGTTGACCTTATCCGACGGCCATGTCCTTGTTTAAATAGCTGTGGTTGTTGTCGAGGATGGCCGCAGACGTGGATCAGACAATCCCCGAGGATGAGCGCAAAATCTTGCCGGAGAAAGGGAACCAGAGTCCCGCTACTGGGTCCTGGATCTGCCGGGGGATCTGGACTCTGCTTCTAATCGGTGCTGTCCCTCTTCTCGCCTTCGGGATCAAGTATTACCAAGATGCCCAGCTCCACAAACGTCATGTGAGATCCACATCTGCAATACTAATGTTACATACGCCTCATAATTCATACGTTTTCTTCACTTTAGAAAATAACTTATAATAAAATAAAATATTTATCCATATAATGCAAAAAAATGCCAATTAACTATATGTTATTTATTAATAGAAAGTTTGCATTGACCTTCTCGGACTTATTATTACTGTAACGTTACTGTAGGTACATTTTATAGTAGTTAACTATTACAAAAAGCTTTGATCAGTCTTCAGAGTAATTCATTGTCAGACATCAGTCGCCACCAAACACCACATCAGCAGTTTTTCCACCTCATGGTGTTTTTTTTAAGGGGAGGTGAATCTGTGTCACAGCTGGTAAAACTCAACCTCATGTGTTATATTGCCTCTTGTTTAGCTACACAGGGACTCCAATTTGTTCTTATACTTCCCTCCCCCTCTCCCTGCATTGTACAAGCAGCATCTGTCTGGGAAACACATGCAAGGAATCTGTGGCCTCTGGGCTGATCTCTATCCAGACAGGACTGCTAAGGCTGAGTGAAGGACCCATTACTATAGAGACATTAATATATTTAAAAGGAAAAGTGCTCCCTAAAGTATGAACATGCAGCTAAAACAGTGTTTTTTTTAATCTTCCCAAATATTGGTGTTTTGTTTGATGAGGCGGCTCACTGTCCTAGTTTTGATGCTTTGTTTAAAATCCCTGAAGCATGTGAATTGACAATAAGGGTCAGACTGTAACTGTATGTGCCCCTCCAATAGGAGGAGAGTATTCAAACCCTGGGTGCAGAGGGGCTTTTTCTCTTCTCCTCTTTAGATACTGACCATGACCTTTATCTCAGCCCGGAGGAGTTTAAACCCATTGCAGAGAAACTCACAGGTACAGTGTCTCATGTATTGTATATCTAGCCTTCTCTCAGTAACAAAAACCTCCGCCTCACCTCACATTGACTCTCATATCTACAACTTCCTCACAGGAATTACACCCCCGGTGGATTTTGAGGAGGATGTGGCCCATGACCCCAATGGAGAGACTTTGACGTTGGAGGCCCAAATGCAGCCTCTGCTGATGGACTCCATGACAAAAAGCAAGGATGGTTTCCTCGGGGTAAGACGAGACCGAACAAGAGGACGTTTATTGTTTATTGTTTTACTGTTCTATTTATCTCGACTACTGCATAGTAATCACAGTTGAGTCTACATCAACAGGTTTTAAAGATAGTCACTAGTCAATAACTGTAGTTTTTATGAAAGTTTGAACAAACTTAATTTTTTAGAAAATAAACATCAGAGAGTTATTTATTATTATTATATTTTATTTATAAACTTTGCAATACATTTTCTCACCACTTTGTCAATGCAGTTCTATCAAAATGTGAAAGCAACCAAGAATGGAATCATAACAAAAAAAAAGACATATTAGCATTTATTTGTAGAAGCACGTGTTCTAGTTTTGAACAACATACCAATAATACATTGATTTAATCTCTGGTTTTCTACCTCCTGCTCTCTCAGGTGTCTCACAGCTCTCTGAGTGGGCTGCGCTCATGGAAGAGCCCAGCAGTCCCCGCCTCCTCTTTCTCTGCCAGCCAGTTCAGGGCCTTCTTGCCCCCAAAGAACAAAGATGAAGTGGGAGACTCATGGTGGGTGATTCCCAGCGAACTGAACATCTTCACTGGATACCTGCCCAACAATCGCTACCACCCTCCCTCACCAAAGGGCAAAGAGGTATCCTTAAAACTCATTCATAGTTCATGTTTAAAGGCATGTGATAAATAGACTATATACTGATATATGTTCCTATCTTGCTGCAGGTTCTCATCCACTCCTTGTTGAGTATGTTCCACCCGCGGCCCTTCATCAAATCCCGCTTTGCCCCTCAGGGCGCAGTCGCCTGCATTCGTGCCAGCAACGACTTTTATTACGACATTGTGTTCAGGTAAGGAGCCATTAGGGAAGCGACATAAAATACCATAGCAGTGCTCAGCCCATTAACTACAGAATTATGTATACTTTATATTAGTGCTGCATAATATTCAGAACGTACTATACATTATAATATCCTCCCTGGCAGGCAGCCATTGGTTTCATCATCATGCGGAGCCTGAGACTGTTTTACTTTGTTGTCCATAGAGAGTTATTAACACGTGTTAATAATAATAATAATAATAATAATGCATTACATTTTTTATTAGAGCGCTTTTACAGGTGCTCAAAGCGCTTTACAATAATATATTTAATATAGTTAATGCAGTTTCCAGTTCTTTACTACCTGTTTTGAAAAATATATGTCGTTGGAGTGGAAACACAATTGTGAGATTTCAGTCAACTCTTGGAAAGCAACTTTTTTCAATGAAAGAAACTGCCAGATCCATACTACTTTTAACATTATACAAACAAAAGGCTACAATACATTTTCCAGTAACTTCTTGACAGAACACATGTTGCGGTACGTAATCAACTCCCTTTTCTGTTAACCTCTTTAGGATTCATGCAGAATTCCAGCTGAATGATGTTCCAGACTTTCCCTTCTGGTTCACCCCTGGGAAGTTCATTGGAAACATTGTGCTCTCTAAAGATGCATCTCATGTCCGCCACTTTCATCTCTACGTCCCCAATGACAGGTAAATCCTTGAAACACACTCAGTCACCTTTGTGCATGCAGTCCCCGCTCAGTGTTTTCATGTGTGTCAGGTCTCTGAATGTGGACATGGAGTGGCTGTACGGGGCCAGTGAGAGCAGCAACATGGAGGTGGACATCGGATACCTGCCGCAGGTAGAGCTGCACGCATGCATTGACCCTTCATAAGATGTCTCTATTTCTTTACTAGTGTGGTTTTCCAGCTCTTCCTGGTTTAGTTCTCTATCATTGAGTCATACAATTAAGCTCATTCATTACTTCTCCATATTGGGTGTCAGGATTGTTGTCTTTTTAAATGTGTCCTGTCACTGTTTTTGAGTGTCCTAATGTTTGGGTGCTCCTAGAATTAATTTCATTTCCTTTTTTTGTCGGTTATTAAACCTTTTAGAGCGCATTGGCCCTATTCCCTTTTTAAATTCAATAATTGCTTTATGTATTTAAAATATACTAAAGCTTTTTAGGCATTAATTATTTAAAAAAACCTTATTGAGCCATTTGTTGTATGGACTTCTGCCTAAAATCAATAACAATTCCCTAGTCACTATTTCACTAGTGTCTCCCAAAATAAAAAAATCCTCAGAAAATGACACAGATTTAAGTATATCATGTTTTTTTTAAATCTGGAACTGCCTTGTATAAACAATTGTGAACGTGTCCACAGTTAGAGCTGCAGGCCACGCGCCCGTCCACTCCCTCCATCATCATGGATGAGGAGGGTAACATCATCGACAGCCAAGATGGTAACAGCGAGCCGATCCAGTTCATCTTTGAGGACATCCACTGGAACTCGGAGATCACTGAGGAGGAAGCCACTCGACGGCTGGAGGTCACCCTCTACCCCTTCAAGAAGGTAACCATCTACCAATCATTTATTTCAACCACTGTTGTCTTCAATGTTGTTGTGGTTTCACAGCTTTTACATTTTCACCATTGTTCTTCCTCCCAGGTGTCCTACCTGCCCTTCTCAGAAGCCTTTGAGCGAGCGGCAGCAGAGAATAAACTGGTGCACTCCATTCTGCTTTGGGGAGCATTGGACGATCAGTCCTGCTGAGGTGAGATCATGAATGTGTTGAATACACAGCATGCTGATTGAGATTTGACTTAGTGTTTAAATTAAAGGCCTAAATATGGACTACATCTAAACAATGACATAAAAACTGGTAAATATAAGAGATGCATTTGCCCATTCAGGAATTTCCACAGCATTGTAGCCTGGTGAGAAATAGGTACTTAATATTGTCTTTTGTCAGTATAAATATCTCCCTTTTACTTAGCAGCATTACAAATCAATTCTATAAACATTTATTATGAGTGAAAAATAGTATTCAAATAAGTTCTTCTTCTTCTTGTGTCAATATGTAGCATAAATACCATACTTTATAACTTTTAAACGTAGTCTTAACATATTATCCCTTTTAAGAATGACATGTTGAATTCATAAATAATTCCTCTTGGTTAGTTGAAGACACCAAGTAGCCTGTGGTGGCTAATGTTAGCTAATGTTTTGGTAAAGGTTGCTGTATAACGAACATTTCTGACTTACTTTGCTGCATTCTGGAACTCATCTTAAATTTTGCTTGTGTTAAATTAATTTTGAGTTCACTTGAGATGTAAATGCTTTACTTTTTCAACAACTCTCCCATCTCTCCTTCTCACCTCTGCAGGTTCGGGGCGAACTCTCCGGGAGACCGTCCTGGAAAGTTCGCCCGTCATGGCCCTGCTCAACCAGAGCTTCATAAGCAGCTGGTCTCTGGTCAGAGAGCTGGAGAACATGCAGGTGGGGCAGTGCAACCTCAAGAAATTCAAACTGTGCTTTTTAAAAAATGTTTCATACTCTGTTACCTTTTAACAACCTTCTTCTGATAAACAGGCTGATGAGCAGAACCCTGTGCTGAGTGAAAGGGCCAAATTACACCTGGAGAATTACAACTTCCCAGTGGAGATGATGGTGGCACTGCCCAATGGAACTATTGTAAATATTTTTCTCCTTTCTCTTTTTATCAGCCTTCAATTTATGAAACATCGAGGACTCAGTTTTAAACAAACGCGTGTAGAAAAACTTCCTTTGATATCGGTTTTAAGTCAGAAGATTTACTTGCTTACAGTTTTTTGTGTGTATTTGTATTCCCACTTTTATGAAATTTGATATTTATTGATGTTCTTAATCTTTAATTAAAAAAAAAAGTTAACATTTCTCTGTCTATGTTTTATATCAACATTTGCACGGAAAAGCTGACCTAAAGCTATCTTCTTCCCGTATGACTGTAGGTCCACCACATCAATGCCAACTTCTTCCTGGACCAGACGGCTATGAAACCAGAGGAGGAAGAAGCAACGTTCAGCTTCTCTGCTGCGTTCGAGGACCCCTCCACAGCCACTTATCTCAGCTTCCTGAAGGAGGGGTTGGAGAAAGCCAAGCAGTACCTGGCACAGTAATTAGAGTGTGCGATAGAGCCTGAGAAACTCAAAAAGGAGGAAATAATCATAATTCCTCTGGGTAATGATGCGAGATAAGGAAAAGCCTCCAACAATTATGTAGAGAAGTTTTCTCATCCATTTGGCAGCTGATAAACATTTTCACCCTCTGTCCTTTTTGTTGCTATTTATTTAGTCATCTCCTGTTTAGTTAGTTTTAAACACAATATTGACATTGTGACAAACAGTACAGGGACATATTCTCAAGCCTTATGTTACTCTCAGTATAGTATATTTGCATTCTAATGAGATACAGTAACAGACATGTAAACACATTTACATCTGCTCTCTGCTTGTAGCTGCTGATTAAGTTGATATAAATATAGACAGAGGCTCATCGTAGCTCAACGAAACACCCTGCTTTCATATCCCTGTGTCGCAGGTACAATATGAATCGACTGAGTGATTTCCTGCTGCTGAGCGAACCCAGAGACGGGGCCTGTGTTGCCTTCAGTTGTGTCTCAGCAGTTTGTGAAGATGTTGTCTGAAAGCCCTCTGTGGGCCGGGCGGCGCCTGATGTTTTTGCTGAGGCGGCTGCAGGGAACACCCTCTCTGACTCAGGGGACTGAAGCAGCAGGAAACATTGGGCTGTGGTATATACAATTGTTCAATTAGTTGTTTTTTTGTTTGAAACCAAATTTGTAATATTTTGCCAATTTTCTGTTCTTGTGGAATGTGTGACCACACCAAAGAAGATTGATTTTTTTATTATGTACAGCTGTTGAAGTTCATATTTATGTAACTCGATGGAACCAAAAGGACTTATGTTTGTTTAAATGACAGACACGTGATACCTTGTTATGTTGTTTTCCTCTTTCATGATCTAGTAAAAGCAATGTATTTGCTCTTGTCTTAAGCGTGACAAGAGGAAATCATTGATGTTTAAGAGTAACAACATGACTATTGGGACCTACCATTAGGTTAATGGCTGTTGAAAGACTTAAGTCTGTTTTTACAATACGTATAATTCTTATATTTTTCAGTCATACAAAAAAAATGTTTTCCTCTTCAGGTCCGTCTTATTTTACTATACAATTAAAGAACACAGGGATCAAGAACACTAGTTTATATAGTTGCAGTGACATTTGATAAATGTGGTAACATTAACCTGGAATGTGACTTTGTGAAAGGTCATACAAGTGAAACATCTGAATGATTGGAGTCTTTAAGGGGAAATCACTACCGGGGCCATTTTTTCAAAGCCTGACATAATAAAAACATTTTTGCTACAAACTGATTTTTGTGCTTATTGGCAACATCTGCAGTACCATGAACTGCACAGTTCAACAATACACCATACAAATGTTTATAGAGTTTAAATGTTCAATTGTGCTGTTATGTTATTAACTAATCTACAATACCGTACAATGTAAGCAAAGTAGATTCAGGGAGCATTTGACGTAAACAGTTGAATTTAGACAAAATGCATTAATTCAAAGCTTTTGCTGTCACACACAGAAAGCACAGTGTTGTATGAGTCAGCACTAGAAATGAAAGAAAAGTTCAGAATAGTCCTCCATTGAATGTACAGATGTCCTTCAATCAAGAAGCTTTTCTCGAAGTGGAGCGCAAAGTGTTTGCTGAAGATTATTTCCAGTATTCATTTATGCCGTCTATGACACTAATTGATAAAAACCCATAAAAAGGATTAGTGTCTGATGACGGGAGCCTTTATTTGTGAGACTTATGATGTCTGTGCAGTTTGGTCTTTTATAAGGTAATCTAAGTGTGTTTGGAAAACTTCCAGCATTAACTAAACACAGTTATATGGAAGCAGGGACATGCTTTAGCTTAAAATACAGCTGAGCCATTATGTTCACAAGATAAAATTATGTTATATCATAAAGTAAGTGATTCACATTAAGAGCAGAGTTCAGTCTCTGAGACTTGTAACCTATTCCATTCAAAAACAAGGACTCTGAGAATCCAGTTCAGCTCTACAGTTCACAGCTTTGCTCCCAAACCTTCAGGAATGAGTCCACCACGAAACCCCCACTCCATCGCACTGCTCAAGATTTCTTCAGATCATTAAGTTCGCTAAAATCCACAGCCCTTATTCACAGGGATAAGATTTGTTTACATGGATGCTACCATGAAATGGATGAGCGGCTGTATTAGTGATTTGCTCAGTGATGAGAGATGGCCTCTTCAGCTGAACGTCCACACCTCCAGCTCCATCACTCGGAAGTCGTCGGTTTCTGCGAGGCAGCAGTTGTTGAAAGTGTAGCAGGGGCTGCTGCGACCCAGGTACAGACTCTCATCCACCCACAGACCAAAGTGACCACTGCAGGAAATAGATAGATAGACAGTAGTCAAAGATAATACATTACTCAAATGTCTATAGAGTTTTTGTAAATAGATTCCAGATAAAAGAGAGTGAACACATTACCTGCCTCCCCCAATAGCAAAGGAGTCCAAGTCTCCTTTAATAAAGAAGGAGTTCTCTCCAGTCCATCTAAAACACTGCAGGGAAAAGGCAGAGTTAATCACCACAAAACTGTTTTAGTGCCACTTCTCAAGCATAAAGTCAGAAAAGAACACCCTTTTTAGCATTTTGACCTTACACAGAAATGCATAATTTGCTATATTTAGCTGATATTTTACAAATTGGCTGAACTAAAGACATAAACGTTGGTCGTTAGGGGGCTCACCTTGAAGCGAGGATGCAACATGAAAAGGAAAGTTTCTCCTGTGCCGTAGAACGTCTCACTCGGCCTCAGAGGGTGAGAGAGGAAGGCCCCGAATATCTGATGAAGAAAAGTCCCCAAAGACAGCAACACACACACACTTACTAAAATTGAAGGACATTACAAAATCCTTAATTAATATAAGAGGTTATGTATAGTATGTGTTACCTCATCGAGAGCATCTTTGATGACAATCAGCACAGGGGAGTCCAGTTTGCTGAGTTTCCTGTAGAGGCACTTGAGGCTGGCGCCATGACGGGACGTACTGTAAGCCAGGTGCCAGTTGTAGCCCACTGTCCTCGGGGGGAAGCTCCTGACACAGCTGAGAGGCATTCAAAGAGGGAGATGGTTTTTAATCAACAAAGAATGGGGAGGAAGGAGTTTTAACATGAACAGGGCCAGATACTGACGTCTAAACCTTTGCAGCAATCAGTTCTGAATTTAACTTTGTTGTAGGGCAAGTATTTACTAAAAGAAGACTTATCTATAGATCTCTGTAAACATTAAACAAGATGCACCACACCAACTAGCTCTCACACAGATATGATTTGTTATATATTCACACCTCCTAACTCCCAGTTAGTGTTAACTGAATGGCTGACTGAACTAACTTAAAAAAACAAGCTTGCTGGTCTATGTATGAAGTGAGGGGTACAACATGTCATAGGGACAGGCTTCACTCTTTATCTACAATAAAAACAGTGTAATAAAACCCCACAGATTATTATTTGATTTAAATATGCCTAGAATACTAAAGAAATTGGAAATATTTAATTTGGAAATCATAAAACAACACAATATACTATCACCTCAGACGGATTTGGCATTTACTTTCATTTGTTAAACTGCATTCATACAACTATTCCTGAAACCTCAAAATAAAATATTATTTTTTATTTTTTTATATGGCCCCCTTAACGGTTTAAATTACAGGGACTTTCTGTTTACATAGTTGATTTATTTAGATTGCACTACAGACGTTTCCTAGCAACCAATTTACACATAACTGAAGTCTCAAAGTTCAATTGTAATCAGTCAACCCTTTTGAATTTGAAAAATATTTCGAAAATAAATAAATGTTACATTTTTTACTCCACAGGTTTTGATGGGGCAACATGATTTAGAAAAGGACTTTATTGAAAAAAGCTAGTAGGTAAATAGAAACAAACTGTGTGTGAAGAGTGTGAGTATACTATGTGTGTGTCGCCCACCTCTTTGACATGTGAAGCTTCTAAAATGTTGCTGCTCGCTACAATATCATTAAGTCCGTCGGGCTCCTTGTCCATGACCAGGGTTGGCTTTTCCCCGCTCTCCTCCATCAACACCATCTACACAAAAAAACATAAATACATTAGAAAAAAGAAGAAGCCATTTTGTCCTAGAACATCAAGAGGCATTTGTTCTTCCTTTGAGCCTGGAGTGACCGACCCTGAGGCAAGTGTTTCCACAAACAAACACACCTGCTCATTTCCATAATTTGCACCAGTTAAGTAAAAGATCTCTCCTGTGAGACTGAAATGAGTCTGATTACCTCCCAGTCGTCCCCTGAGCTGCGGTGCCTCTGGAACACATCTTCCTCGTCCCCTTCCTCCTCTTCTTCCTCTCTGTCCTCAATGAGTACAAACTCCTCTTCGTCGCGGTCCGCCTCTTCCTCCCCTCCTTCCAGTATGCACAGGTCTGGTCGAGAGTGAGTCAGGTATGCGCGCAGCTCGTCGGAGCTGCAGGGGGAAACAAAGCCGTCACTCAGACATGTTTAAAGACAAACAAACCTGACAGCTGCATCAACATGGACACAAGAGAGGAGGAGCTTTAAATGTACTTTTATGAATGTATTCACAGATGAGTAATTGATTTTCCACTGAGGTAGAGTTTTCATTGTGTTGTACTCATCAGCTTAAGTAAATACAGTACTGTATAGCAATACAAGATAATAAAAATGCTCTATTACAGAAGTCCTGCATTTAGTATAGTATTATTGACAATAACGTTTACCAATATTATTGATGAACCAACATAAATGCAGTCATTTAACGTTGTAGCTAGTCAAGGTGGAGCTTATTTTAATATCTTAATACTGGTGGGGCGTTTCATTTATCGAAAATTCATACTTTTTAGTAAATTGATGACATTGTGGAATAATTCCCGATATAAAAACTTCTCACTGTACATTCTACATTTTTATCTAATTTAATATGTCATTGCACACTAAATGTAAATAATATCCCACTTTTATATTGTGTTGGCTGTGATTAAGCCGTTCAATGGTGTTTCATATGTCAGATAGTTTAATATTATTTCTTCATGGTCAACTTTTATATTTTCACTCTTTTATAACTATGTTATCTTCTATTTTGAGATGTTTTTGTACAATTATTTATTTCCCACTCTTTTTTATTTCTAATTATGTGCAATACTTGTTTTACATGCTGCTGCAATGAAAACTTTCCCAATTTGGGAAAAAAAATGTGTGGAATGGTATTTTGTACTAATATTCAGTATCATAAAAAATATAAATATCAAATAATCAAGTATTAAGTTTGAATATATAAAGAATAGTCAAGTAAAGTACTGTGAGTTCTACTGTGTCTCTCAACTGTAATTCTTAATCTATAGAGTTCCCCTTTTAATCTGTCCATCCACATTTCCCTGCCGTTAGTTACTGTACCTCTCTTGTGAAAGTGCAAGCCAAGCATCCCTTTTTTTAGTCGAGCCCAGCTGAAGGCGTCTGGCGCCCTTCTTCTTTCCTGCAGACGGCTGAACCCGCAGCCGCACGAACATCAGGCTCCCAGGACTTCCTGTTGAGGACCGCTGAGGCACTGGAAGTAGACAGAGAACAACGGTGCAGAAAATGAAAACGAGAAAAAAACAAAAAACATGTTTTAGACCAGGGGTATCCAAACAACGGCCCGGGGGCCAAATGCAGCCCGCGTTTTGAATCGGCCCTCAGCAAATTCAAAAAGTATAATGGACTATGGCCCAAAAATGAAACTTGTGCTTGTCTTGTATTGTGCTTATTAAATATAGATGAAAACAGATATTACAAGTGTTCATGTGTTAAGAAGCCCAATCTTCAAACAAATTCAGTCAATTAAAGTTGAAAACATTTTCTATCAAATCTAAGTAATAACTTATTTTCAAAACACGCTTTTAATAAACCCTTCCTATTTCCTCTTATGATAAGTGTGGGGGAAACTTCTGTAGCAATGGAGAGTCAGGACTCAGAGAGACACGAGGAGAGCTGGAGCTTTGATGGCAAACACTGATGGTTCATTTGGAGTTACGGCCGGAGAGTTGACAAGACAGGTGGTGTGTCACGAGTTGACACAGCGGTTGCCAAACCAATTCTGA